AACTGTAAAACTGGACATAGCACTGCTCCCCTAGGTTCTATAATGCAGCTGTTTTTCCCTGAAACTTAGAGGCACATGGACATTTAATTATCACATATCTTTGGCAATGTCCCAACAAAAGCTCATCAGTTTGAAAATATCTATCTTGTTATGTTTTGAAATTTGTCAGTGTGCATTACTGTACGTGGGGGAATCTTGTACACAGGGACACTGAAAACATTGAAGTGYCTGAAAATACTCTTTGGGCTATTATTCTGATTTAATTCCACCCATTCAAAACATCCTCCTTGCTTAATACAGGCTGTATTCAGGCAGAACTGGAAATGACAGGGAGCACAGGCAGGCTGAAGGATGGCAAATAACCGAAACAGTGAACTGGCAGGAGAAAGGAATGAAGATTAAAACAACTGTTTTATTCATTAGAAAACTGGGAATGATAAACAAACTTCCTTTATAAAGCTCTTTAGGTTTGAGATGTTAAGATGAGGAGCCCTATACTGTAACCCCAGGTAGCTGAACAGGAATAAACATGCCCCCTCATTAGCCTCTTGGCACAGCAACTGATCTCTGTGAATATTTTGCACTGGCATTTCCACAGCTGGAGGAAGAAGCCTTATGAAAAGTGTTGAGACGAACTCTGGCTGTGTTGGTAGCGTGGGCTCCCATCTCTATCAGCACAAACCAGGTAAGAATACAGTCAAAGCCTGGGTGTTTTACATACAGCATGTGGGCATTCTTTTTGAGCCAAATTTCTTTGAAGCAGCATAGCTCCTCTGATAAAGTCTGGTAATGGGACCACTGACTGCAGGAATCTGTCCTCAGTACAGCTGGCTTCACATAAACCCAGTAAGTGACAGGCAAAAGCATGAAAGGACAAAGACAAAGACGAAATGTAATTCTGAGAGGAACGCTAGTGGCAGTTACTGAAATAGAGTTAGTGGAGTTTGTTCTGCTGTTCACAGCTTCTGCAAATCTCATGTTAAAAATATTCATAATTTTTTAGATTTTACTGAAGCAGAGAGAAATGTTGAGACTGAAATTCTGAAAGCTTTAAAAAAATATGCTGATCTTGAGTCTTGTGAAAGGGAAATTCACTTCTCCTTCAGCTGACAGTTCACTGGATTACCTGGGGCACTCCACATCTGCACCCAGATGACGTGATGTGTCAGATGATGGACCTGCCTCCATGAGAGCTCGGAGAGATGTCCGTCATCTTGCCCCTCTCTGCTCAGGAGCTATCCTTCCCACTCCGCTTCAGTCACTGTGATAGATCAGATCACCAGCTGTGATGGTTTATTACAAAAGGGAAGTGCTTCCCAAGCAGAGTTCAGTCCCACATCTCTCAAGAGCGAAGAAGAGACTATGCCACACGCTGTCTACTCAAACTGCAAACCCCCGGAGAAATTACTGACTCTGTGCCACTGTAAGCCAGTGACCACAAGCCGYTGGTATGAGTCCCTGTACCAGACCCACTTAGTGTCTGCTCTGGGACAGCCAGGGGAACAACCAGAAAGCGCAGCCCTAGGGATTGCCAGGGCTCTGCATTTCAAATGACACAAYACAAAAACAAAAGCTACAGGGTGAATCTTACTTGGGGAAAAGTAAGAGCCAATAAATGTGCAGTCCTATGCTTTTAAGGTCCTTCTTACTACTCCTAGGAAAGCACTCATTTACTGAAAACAAACAAACAAAACCCAGTGGCAGAAGAAACTGGCAGAGACTACTTGCCTTACAGTTGCCCCCAGATGGGACAGAGGTGAAGGAGAGAAAAGAGGATATATATTTAGTGCTCCACACTCTTGGATTTTAATACTGACAGTAGAGCAACCCCAAGCTGCCTTGATACCACTGCACCTAAACACAACTTTGAAAACTTCACTTACTTCATCTTCTCTCTGCTTCCTCTGTCGTAACAGTGCTCATTAAGGTTTCATGGGAGGAAAATATAAGGGCTGAAAGGGGTACACCAGAGTTGGCAGTTACCAAATAAAGAATATCAAGATAACAAGCTCAAATTATGGTGATGGAAAGAAAGGATAGCAAGTGTGAAAAGGGACCAACCTGAACAACAAAGAGCTCTTCAATCATCTCAAAACAGAAAAGCATGGAAATGAGGGCAGTGTTTAATAATTATTAAGTAGGAATAAGAAGAAAACACAGAACCAAGGGAAAAAATAAAATAAGCACTAGTTGACAGGCATAAGAAGAGACTGCACTGTAATTGCACCAGCATTAGAACAAAAAAAGAAAAAAACCAACAAAAAATGGAAGTGTTAGTCATGCAAGATGGAAGAAAACAACTGACAGCTGATGACACTGGTAACAAACTGTTTGGTATCTGTTTCCATTTCAGTATTCCCTAGTGATGGCACCTACAAGCAACTGTATTCACATCACTGACAAAGAAAGATCTCTGTCTAGTGAAAGGGAAGAATGAATTAGAACCTAAGTTTCCTGAAAGAGATGTTCTCGGGTTCTCTGGACCCCAAAGACTTATACACTAAATATTAAACTTACACTAATAATAAAGTTATTAAATTATAAAAAAATTTATAGAAATAATTTTTAAAATATTTTCAAAAGCTATAGTAGTTGTTGATGTGAGAACTGGCAAGCTGAAAAGTCTGTTATTAAACAGACATTTGGAAAGAAGAGAAGCAGCAAGAATTCTTGAGCAGTGTCACAAGCTTAATTTTCAATCCTAAAAAATYTTTTGGAACTCTCAAACTATATGCATTTATGCTATTATTGACAGTAGTGTAATGAAAAAGCAGTAAATCCAATGTCTTATCTTGATGTGTGACTGTCACCAGACATCCTTATAAGCAAGACAAACACAGCTCAGATTAAATAATTTCTCTATGAATGCACAGCTACTCAGAGTTACTAAAAAGCAAAAAAAAAAAAAAAAAAAAAAAAAAAAAAAAAAAAAAAAAAAAAAAAAAAAAAAAAAAAAGTAACAGTCTACTATCAAAAGGGAAAGCTGTAAGGATGTTCTGCAGAAGTAAGTCCTAGGATAAGTTCTCTCAATATTCTAACAACCTGTATTACAAAATCTATACTCAATAAGGAGTTTTGAGTGTCTCAGACATCTACTGGAGGACAATATTCAAATTAAAAAATCCTGATGAACTAAAAAGTTGTCTAGAAAAACATAATACTGATAAGTAAAAGTTGATACGAGCTTCAAAACTCATCTGAATCCATCACTGCAGCAAACCATGATCTCAGATTTTTGACACCTTGAATGCTGTAACGTAGCAAAGTGCTATAATATTCCACAGTTTAACTGCCTCACACTATTCATGTAACTTTTCTTTTCCCCTGACATAATAGGGATATAACCACTGCAGAGTGTATTGGATTAAAAAAAAAAAAAAATACACTTCTTTCCCCAGAGGATGTTTTTCTTGCTTCATATGTAAGCATCTTCTCCATGTTTCATTAAACACTACAATTCAGAAATTTGGCAGTCTTTAACCATTTAGAAGGGAAAGACACTGCCATCTCCTGGACCAGGTGAAGCTGGCAAATATCTGAATATCTGCATTCTGTTCTCCATCTTGCATTGTTTTCCATGCATTGAAAAGCAACTTCAGGAACTTAAGTCACTGTCAGACGCTGCATTTAAAAATAAAAGTCTACAGCAGCAAATCATCTGCAAGATACATCTTGGTAGCCTAAGTTCAGTAGTAACATAAAATTACACCCACTCATCCACCTCACCAAATACTACATGCTTGAAAACCTTCCTTTTCATCAGCCCTCCTCAATACACACAAATCCTGAACAGAAATCTCTGTAAAAGCAGCCGTGTGAACAAAAACCAACCATGACAGCTAACAGCACACTGGAGTTGCAAGTGACTCCTGGTCTACCATTTTCAAATCTTTATCCCATCATCTTGCTTTTTCTTTTGAGGGTCCCTATTCCAATCACCTGTTTTCACATAACAGCTTTCAAAAAGCAGCTTTTCAGAATGTACCAAGTGCTCTATTAGTATAACCTAATCAAGCCTCTACTCTACACTGAGCAACCTGTAACCTAATAGAAAGGTACATTCTATCTACAAACTCTGTACATATAAAATTACTCCGGTAACTACTCCACCCCCACCATTTATTAGTTACAGCAGCATCCCCAATACCTTATCTGAAGAGCTTCACAACAAGGAGAATAAAAAGCCCATTATCAGCAACTTGGGACACACCTAGTAATAACAATTCTTATTGTAGGTAGCCTGCAAGCAGTGTCATATAAAGGCTCTACCATTCCCCCAGCAACACTGCCTGCTCTAGTGCTCAGTTCCAGGGCAAACTGGAAGCTGCCTTAGTGATCCAATGCTAATGCTATTCCCRTCCGTTACTATCAAGCCCAAAGGATGAGGCTCAGCTAATATTTTTTTAACTGGATTATATCTGAACTAAGACATGACATAGCTGCAAATGTTTTAAAATTAGTTTTCTAACACTGACTAGATAGAAGACAACATCTACGTCTTTTCCTACTAATCCATGTTGTTAGTCTGAAGTCTTTTGGATGCTATAGCTGTTTAATCATTCCTCTGAAAAACAGCACAACTACCAAACCAAAACATTCAGAGAAGCATCAGTACAGCACAAGGGCTGAATCAGAATGAAAGCAAATTGGCAGGGTATTAGAATTGGCAGGATGGAARAGCCAGTATTTAAGCTCAGACACACAGGCAAATTTTTAGACACCACCACTTGGATGACATGGTTAAATTTTAGAGTGTGCTTGACAAATGCTGTTATTTCCTCCAGTCATGAACAGTAATTTATTAYGCCTAATGCTCACTCTTAACTAAAAATTTCAATTCATTTCATGCTTTTGCCTTCTATTAYTGAGGTATTTTGCTTAGCCTCTTGAGACCTCTTAAGAGGTTTACCTGGTCAGGAACAACTGACCCACAAGGCAAGTTTCACCAGATTATTTTAAAAGTCTTGAAAGAAGACAGAAAGTGTTTTATTTCAAATTTTTAGATTAATTCTACAGTATTTGTCTTCCTTCAATTCTGCAATTACAATTGACRTTCACAGGAATAGGCTCACAGGTTCTCAGCTATCAATGCTAAAACTCCACTTTTAGATAAACTCAAGTAAAAATTCTGGAATTTTCTTGCCATCATGCCTCAGTCTCACTTTGCCCAGTCCAAGTACTGACGTGATGGATCTCTACAGAAGAGTGATTTAGGCACCTTAATAAAAAAAATCCTTAAAAATATAGTATCTTCAATTCAACATTCAGTTTATTTTCTAAAATAAAAAACCCATGCATAATTCTAATATACAGCAGTTGAGTCTTACCAAAGACATGTTTATAAATATTTTTTCCTTTTAATAAAGATCTCTATCTACAGTCCAAATCCTGAATGCCAATCTGCCCAATTGCTTTTCAGGGAATCAGAAAGTAGACCCATATTGTTTCAGGTACTGGAAAACAAGTGTACTGTAGAACTAAATAATGATCTCTTCAGGCACTTGCCATTTGGCTAACCCAAGTTTAAGAGTTTCATTATTTATAAAAASCAACAAAATTCCAGTCTTTATAGACTTCTTAGCTGATTTCCACATGAAAAAAAGTGCAAACCCAGAAATTTACATGTCAGCCATCTTGCTATGAGAAAATGCCGTATTTCTTCTCCAATTCTTCAACAGAAGCATCTCTTAATCCCATGTGGTTCACATGATTGAATAAAACCTGTGTAACTGAAAAAAGAAAATCCCAACAGGAACAATTATTTTTGTGATTCACACTCTTAAGGTAAATTAGTCCAWTTTTTTCCTTAGTACAGTAAGGGTTCTACGGATTATACAGTTGAAATATGAATACATTATTAGAACTACTGGAACGATGRATAAAAGTAGCAAAGCAAAACTCTCACTCTGTTTTGATACCCACGAGCTGACTAATAATACTTCCTCAAACAGGTGTATAATCCAGGCAACAGACAGCTTTTAGTTTGTTTATTATCTTGACACTATGCCATTACATGGAGAGGAYAAAAGTCATGCCAGATGGCAGATAAACCTTACACCAGGTAAAGGTGTGAATGCCATTTGTAAGAGGCACTGCACTTAGGTAAATCAAGTTATTTTATTTTAGAGATAAAAAAAAAATCAAGTTATTTTTGAGATTCACATTTCAAAATTTTTGAAGTATAATGGTTGTTAGTGAAACTTAGCTATAGATAGTAAATTTAACTTTACATGGTCCCAGGGGAATGTTTTCCTTCTATCTCACTACTATGTAGTCTGTCAGGTGTGCTAAATGAAGACTAAGTTTGAGACAAAACACACTTTTATAAACCATGAATTCAAGCCAATGTCAACCYAAATTGCAAATTGATGTAAGTGATGCCTCCAGAACAGGACAGACAACCAGGCTTAGTGCTTTAGAGATATTTGCATTCTTTTCCCAACAGAAAAGTCAGGATTTGTCAAGAAATAATTGTAAATTGTGGAAACTGTATAATCTGGATACCTTGGATCTCAATTGTAGGATTTCATATAAATTCATAAATTTGTAACTTTACAAGCTACAAACTGACACGCTAGCAAAGCTTACTTTATCAGAAAAAAATGCAGTATTACTGATTAAAATAAGAGGATTTAGCTATAGTTTTCTAGCCTAAACAATAAATAAGGAATGAAAGGATTGAGAAAAATTACATGACATTCATATTAACTTCTAAAACAATCAAAAAGATAGACAACTAAACTGATTATTACATGGAATAAACAAGAATAGCACTAGTTTTACATACTTTTTGTTAGATTCTACAGTATCACAAAGTAAGTTTACAAATKACTTACTTTTTTTTTCTGAACCTGACATAAACATTACTGCCATATCAAATCTTTTTAATTCAGAGAGCCTCTGGAGGATTTCAAGGATGAGCGATGGCTCCTCTTTCCTGAAGAAGATTATTACAAATATAAAAAATAGCTACTGTTGATTAGAAAGATTCAGCAGCTGCAAGCAATTTTAAAGAATTCAGCAACAAGAAATTRGAAGACCAACAGAGTTCCCTTCTCTTTCATATTCCCTATCTTTGCCTTTCCTGTTTATTCTTTTACAAAGCAGAAAGTTAATATCCAGAAAACTCTGTGTAAGTATTACTGTTCTACTGAGTAAGAGTGAAGAAACACAGCAACCTAGACTGATGCAAACTGACTGCTGGTCATGTACAGAATACCTACTACATGATTTAATGCTTACACCTGGCCATAACATCACCATTTGATATTGGAGTAGTGTGAAAGGAAGCAGCACCTGTGGCTACATGAAGGACATCAAAAAGCTGAGCCAATTACAGTTGCCTTCATTTTTACCCATATACAAAATTCCTAGATCGTGTTCCTTTTACATTTTTCTGGTCAACAGTAAACTTTGTTACAAGTACTAACAAATAGTATTTTTCTTTCATGACTTTATAATTCTTTTGAAGGGAGACAGGACTTTCACCTTACAGCAAACAATTTCAGCTTCCTAGCCTTTTTATGTCATATCACCAAGGGCAGGACTGTATCTCTAAGACAGCATTTTTCAASCATATGATGTATATTTTAGTTTTTAAGCAAATCAAGGAAAGRGCACACATTGATTTATGTTTGCTCTTCTCCATAAAACAACACCAGAAAGCATCGAGTGTGTGCTTCTCAGACAGAGTAATTCAGAAAAGCAGTACACTGCTTCTGACAGACAAAATGAACTTTGGTACAAATAGTAGCACGGACAGAAGTTTCAAAAATAATATGTCAGGCCCTGTCTTATTAGAACCTCGAGTCTCCAATGCACATTTGGTACAGACGATTGTAAAATGCTAGCAGGTAATTAAGGCTGAATTATCACAATAAGCATGGCATAAAACTGAAACTCTCTGAATTTCTCAGATTTAGAAAGTTAAAATAGAAGACAATGTAAATTTCTATGTGGTCACAGAATACACACACTAAATTGAACAGAAGTTATTTTATACAGTCTAATGATARTTTCTGATGCTCCTTTACAGAGCATCAGAATAAAATAAAACCATAATATTAAAACCACAATAAAACCATAGTATTAATTTCTTCACTTATTTTCTACCTGATTTTTCAAGATGAGTTTCACTTCTTAAGCAGGAACAATAGATTAATTCATTATGCTCAGGAAATACCATTATGGAAATAATTTTGTAAGCCTGAAGCTGAGATTAGAGACAGCATAAAAAAAATCCCCCAAACACGTAACAAAGAACCAACCTCCCCTCATCAAGAAAACCCGAAACCTTTCAGAATAGCAATAAGCAATGTAAACAAGGGAGGAGTTAAACTTACTCAATGTAGAAGTCATGTAGAACTTTCAGGATCTGGTTAAACAAGTCTGGATCCAAGGATTTCTGAAATAGCTTTGCATAAAGCGAGGGCTCTATTTGCTATGGAAAAATTAAAAAAGTTATTTTTAGAGAAAAAAATACAATTGATTCATGAGAATTACATGTGCATTTTTAGAATGTCACGGACAATGCTGAAGTGCGTGAATGCAAAAAAACCAAATCACGCTATTTGACATTAAACAACAATTTTTGCTTGTTTGTTTGGGTTTTTTGGTGATGGTAATTTCTAACTTCTCTTAAAAGAATTCTAAGTGATTTATCTTTTCAAAATATATGTAAGCAAAAGTACACAATAAGTAGACTGCTGTGTTCCAAGCATTTGCTCAGTTTAAAACTGTCTCTATGTTTAATTACATTAGAAGCACTCATTTGAAAAATTAGAAYAAAGTTACTAATATAAGTCTTTAAAGAACAAGGGTCTGTATTTGAAAAAAAAATCAGAGTTTGCTTAATTTTATGCAAATAAAAAGGCACAAGAGAAAAAATACTCAAAAGTGCGTCAGACTACTTAAGCGTTATGTAAAGGCAAATAAAAAAAGGACTATGGTACACTTAAGACACTCTAAGCATGACTAYCCCTTCCACCTAAGTCTACTGTTTCTTGAACTGATGTTGAAGAAACTGTCCAAACCCTGTTGATACTCTTATGTTTCATACCTTCAGGTACAAGTACATGTTTTCTGGGCAGTCTTTCAACTTCCGAAAGTCAGATTCAAGCTGGAAAGAATTTGTAGGAATGGGAGGAACTGGAGAAGCAGACATAAATGACCTTCTGATTTCATTTTCTCTCTGTTTGCTTGCAGGAAAAGATGGATGCAATGTTGATGACATTCCTTTCACATTAACAGGAACCCTGCAAAGATATTTTGAAACACATAATCCTATCAACATTTAAGGAAATCCTACAGTGAGACTTAACCAGAGATCTTTCTATTCATTAAAAGCTACAATGCTATTTTTTTTTAAATAAGGTGGTTTAGTTTAAGCAGGTTCTTTAAAATCCTTTCAAATTATTGAACCTTTGTATTCGATTCCCCTTTCCAAAAAAACACATCTGCAAATACTGAAATTTACTCAGCCTCTCTTTACTATGTTTCTGGAAATAACTGCATTTTATAGCAGGTTTCTCCCATATTTATCTGCAAAAAAATTAATTTATTTTTCTGCAATTTCATAATGCAGGACAGCAACAATGCCAAATGAATAAACTGGTTTCAAGACTAAAACCAGCAGTAGATCTATTTTTTGTCCTATAATTTCTCATCTAAGTGCATTTATTTTTCAAAAATTATAAAATGGCTAAGAATATACTTTTTTATTTCAAGACAGTAAATCCCCCGAACTGAGACAGTAAAGGTGGGTGGGGCTGTTGTTTCTCATAGAAAGTCTTCAATCAGGAGTCCTTAAAAGRCATTTATCATTAACAGAATGAGACAGTGTTGATGCAGTGGACAAGAGTTTTTACACTGAGCTAGRATAAAGCTTCTGTATTTCAGCCTATTTTCAGCAAGACAGACTTGAGCTAGCCTAACTAACACAGTGTGACTTAGAAACTGAGCACATCAGAAGCTCTCAACTGCTGGCTTAGCAGAGGAAAGGGTGGTGACACTCATCTGCTCCTCTCACACAACTGGGGTACAAAGAATACTTGAACTCTGTTCAAAATCTGTTCTAAAACACAACAAATGAAAGTCACAGCCAGGGAATGTGGAATGCCCAAGCAGGGAAGAGTAAAGCATGCAGGAAAATATAATTAATTTCTTTGTATTTGCAGTGTCAGAGCAAGTTTTTCATTTAACACTAAACAGATCATATTTGTCAAGAGCCAGATGCACAAGAACTGCAGTTTCTTTCAAAATTTCCTTTTTAATTCAGATGCTCCAAAGTGTCTTCAGTATCTCACCACATGYAGACATGTGGAAATGGAGATTAGATTTCAATCACAGTTACCGTTTTAAAAGAGGATCAGAATTATTATACTTACTGTGATGGTGACACATCACTGATCTCTTCTATTTTCAAGTGCTTTGCTTTCGGAGTGTCCACTGTAGTCAACAGATCATCCTGATTTAGACTCTCTGTTGTTTCAACACTCACTAAATTCCTCCAGTTATCGACTAAAGAAACAGTGCTGGGCAAGTCACCATCTGATATATCATCATCAACTTCTTCAATGTCTATTCTTCGCAATGGCTTCTAAACAGAACACAGACCTCAGGTCATGTGTGGACTCAACATGTTTATACAGACCCCAGATACAGCTGTGTGTAAGTTAAAATAATCTTATGATAACCAGTTACATCTGTAGCGGTGCACTGAGAAGACACTTGGAATAAAGGTAAATGGCAAAAAAGGAAACCATAAAATTCTACAAGAAGTCTGATATGATAATTTTATTGGTTTACCCTCATAAATCAGTGCATACTCTAAAAGATCTCAGTAAGCAGTCTGTTTTCCCTGTAGTAATTTAAAATGTGTACTTTTTTCCACTGAGGTTGAATAGGCAAGATCTATCATATACCTTGTCCCATTATGCAGTCAAGCTTTGTAATTTAGCAAAACAAAAAAAAAAATCCAGCAACATAGGCCTTCGTCCACAACTTAAAATTTTGGTATAATAAGTACCTGTAATTCAACCCTGATTGACCAAAGTGCATACATCATAAAATAAGTAATACCACAACTAAAGAACATGCTAAAATGCTTYAGGTTGTTTAATCTCTGTATGATCCCCATTATTTCTGATTATCACCTAGTAGCACCTTCACAGGTCTCACAAAAAAAACTTCTCATCATGTCTTAAGAGTTTCATTTCCTGAACATGAAGGTAGCATAAATTGCTCTAGAAATACAGATGCAAATGCACACGATTAAACATACTCAAAAATAAAGACTTCTAGGAAATGGTAGTACTAAAAGCACAGATATTTCATCTATACTTATTCTACCTTAACAGAGTAACAAGAGGGATACAACCAACCTAGTATTTTCACTTATTTAGCAGCCAAAGTGAACATGTAATAAATCTAATTGTCTATAGTATTTCAGCTACTTCACAGAAAATTCATTTAGGTTTAAAGAAATATTGTATAGTTATAGAGAAGTTATAATACTCCCCCCCCCAAAGGATCAAAATAATCACACATTTTCTACTAAAACCAACAATTTGAATTACATCATTGATGAAAGTAAACAAAGGTTTTCAAATAGCATGAGCGCATACACAAAGTATAAGCACACTTTGTATTTACACAACTCATTGCTGAATGTATAGATTAAATGTACTAAAAGAGAAAGAAAAAAACTTGATATTACTCCCTGTATTAAAATTTTCATCTATAACTCATTTATCTGACTGTAACTACTGATAATTCATAGTCCAAATATATTGCTTATTGAAAACCAATATCCAGTTGTTCTATTTTACATGGATGAAAATGCATGCTCAAAGSTCTTTGAGAAGCAGCCCTACATCAGAGTAGCACGACACAAGTAGCAACGTGTCTTATAACCACTATGGCTGCTGTAAAAACTGTAAACAACAGAAGAAGGAGAGTTTACCCAGAGCTTCTCAATCAAACACAGAGACTCAACTGTCTCCCATTTACTCTCCACTGCAAAGTTACCTATGGACCCGAGACATGGTTGTAGGCTGCCTGCCTACTCCAGGTTATAAATGTGTGCATACACCATGTTTGCTGAGGGTGGTACTGCAGGYTGAATGCTTACACCACCACTAAGAACATCAGCATTTCCATGTGTTTATATGTTCTTGAAAAATATCAAGAGTAAATTTAGACCTTTTTGGTTTTCTACAGACAAGGTATATCTATCAGGAGTTAGTCTACAAATACAGAAAAGAGATTTTAACTTTAAGCACTATTTTTCTCATCATTATAGAAAGCAACTCACAAACAACTTACTGTTGATTTAATCTGCAATGGATTATCAATCATTTTCACTATATTTTTTATTTCCGTTTCTTTTATCAAAACTGCAGGATATTCTTGGTGAGTCTGCTGTTCTTTCTCAGCTAATTCCTGAAAAAAAAAAACAAGTTCTCCAACAGATCAGGTGTTTGATGAATAAATACAAGGTATGTTAAAAATAATAYAATAAAGAATAAAATTCTTCTAATACTACAACCTTACAAAAAGCTCCCAAACAGAAGAAAYCCCGCTATACTCAAATAAGCATACATACATTCCTTATTTTAGTGAGTTCGTTTATTGCTTGTTTATTTCCAGGTTCCAGCTTCAGAACAGCTTCAAAATCTGAGTGAAAAACAACACATAAAGTGTAGGTATTTCAAGTTATAATGTACACATGGCAGATTTTTAAAATGYACTATTTTCCTTCCAAAGCTCTAAAAATAAATAAAGGCAGGTAAGGCGAGGGATTGGAATGGGCAAGGTTGGAAGGGACCACAGTGGGTCATCTAACCTCCTAACCTCCCTGCTCAAGCAGGGTAATCTTGGATTGCATTACACAGGATTGTGTTCAGACAGTTCTTAGYTCATCTTTAGCAAGGGAGACTCCACAACCTCTCTGGGCAATCTGCTCCAGTGTATTGTCAGCTGCACATTAAAAAACCCCTTCCTCATTCAGGTAGAACTTTATGTGCATCATTTTCTGACCATTGCCTCTTTCCTAGTACTTGGAACTAGAGCCTGGGTCCGTCTTTTGACATCTTCCCTTGAGATACTTGTAGGCATCGATGGTCACCCCTCAAGTCATCTCTTTTCAAGACTGAACAGGCCCAACTCTCTTCAGCTTTTCCTCGTAAGAGAGACACTACAGTCCCATAATCACCTTTGTCACTGTGGGACCCACTCCCAATATTGAGCCCACTTAGGGCTCAATATCTACTTGCACTGAGGAGCCGAGAACTGGGCACAGCATTCCAGATTTGGCCTCACCAGGATGGAATAGWSGGGCAGGATCACCTCCCTTGACTTGCTGTCAATGCTCTTCCGAATGTACTCCAGGATTCCATCTGCCTTCTTGGCCCCCAGGGCACTGTTGGCCCATGGACAGTTTGTTGTCCACCAGGATCCCCAGGTCCTTCTCCACAGAGCTGCTTCCCAGCAGGTCAGGCCCCAGCCTGTGCTGGTGCCTGRGGTTATTCTTCCCCAGGTGCAGGATCTTGCATTTGTTTCTTGAATTTCAGGAGGTTCTTCTCTCTCCAGTCTGGAGGGCTCACAGCCCTCTGGGGTATAGCCCACTCCTCCCAGATTGGTTATCAGTGAACTTGCTGAGGAGGCCTCTGCCCCTTCATCAAGCCATTGATGAACAAGTTAAACAATACTGGGCCCAGTATTGAACACTGAGGGACACCACTAGTGACAGGCCTCAATCAGTGACACTGTCTAGTTGAAGACCCTGCAGGATCTATTGTTCAGCCAGTTGTCAATATACATTGCTGTCCACTTATAAGTCACTCTAATGCCTATATCATGACCTACCTTAAAAAAAAAACCTTTTCAAACTAATTCTTACTACTCATAAACAGCAACAGCTGTAATTTCACACAAAACTRTCTTCCCATTATGTGGGTACCAACACAAGTTCTTATACCTGTTCAGTGAAATCCAACAGAAACCCCTTAATTCTTAACTTTTGCATGGATAATCTCAGTAAGTCACAAAAACAAGATCAGGATGTCCCTATATTGCTTACCTATCACATTTAGGCTAATTCAAAGTCATACCTTGAATAGCTTCCTTTAGCTTTCCAAGAGCAACTCTGGCAGCTCCTCTTCTGGCAAAAGCTTTAGAATAGGAAGAATCTAAGAGCAGAGCTTGTGTGCAGTCATCTTCTGCCTCTTTGTACCTCAGCAAAAGCAAAGCACAAAAGTAATAGTCACTTTCAAGAGGCAGTTTCCACTGAAAAGACAGAGCTATCCAAACCAATTAAAATATAAAGGTAGATCCTTCATTACCTACATACATCAACACATCACCATGCTAAAATGCAAAATAAAAAAAAMCACCACAAAATAGGATTTCTCAGCACCTTGAAATTTCAGCCGTATCTTTTGGTATTCTTAACATAGTGCTGACTCTTTTTATCACCACAAAAATTCACTTCCTCTAAAGAAAAAAAACAACCTCTGCTTGTCAGAGCAGAGTCCACTTTAAAAATTCAACAATAACCTTAAAATCAAAGTCAGTACCATGGCTTTGTACTTCTGAAACCCAGAAATATCATTACAAACACATAAAGAAAAAGTTCAAGAAAGRAGAAGCAAGCATGCCGGAGAATAAATCTCTCTACATTTGGAATTCTGTAACTTGTCCTAACTATTTCAGAATGAAAAATCAGAATCTCCTTGTATTAATGTAATTTGCTTAATTTTAAGACTGTATTTCCCCATCCCATTTATACTGTTATATTAAAGCCAGATTCTACTATATACTTATTGAAGTATTTTCATTCATCCCTCTTCTCCACTTTCGAACTACCATTTATGCAAATTAGTTCTTATTTGCAGTTCTTATCAGTACTAGCAGTTTGTAAGAATACCAATGGGCTTTTGTTGAATTTTATGTTTGGTCCTCTTTGAAATGTAAAGACGTATAATAACAGATTTACCACAGACAATCAATTTTCTTGCTTGGCCATTCAATTAAAGTACCACTTCCTCTGAATCTCACAAATGCTATTTGCATTATGATTTCCTTTARATTACAAATGCTGTGTTAGAAATACTATCCATGCAACCTATCTCATCCTAATGAGATCATCCTCAACCTCTCAATCCTAAGAGATCAATGTACTGTCTCTACAGATACCCAGACACGTCATGTTAAAACAGATGACCAACRTAACGCTCAGCTCTCTGCTTCTCATGCTACCAGCTCACAAGTTTTAAAATACCACACCACACAGAGTCCAAAGAGGTTCAGGCCTAAAAAAGGGCTATATAGAACTTACTTAATTTGCAAGAAAGTATGAATTTCCTAGTCTTTTTGGGTTATTTGGATAAAACTCAATTAAAAAAAAACAAACCACACATATGTGCCTCCATCAGTGGAGTTAAAAAATTATTTGAAAAGGCAACGATTTCCAGAAAAAAGTTTACATTCCTTCTCAAGTCTGAAGTTATAATCCACTTCTTTTTACAGTGCAACATTTAGTAGCTGACTGGGTTTCARAGTCAAAGCTTTGGGCAGTTCCTTTCAGAAAGATGAATATCGGATTTTTTTTGAATTTCCAACTTCAGAAACCATAATTTCATACTAGTGCTATTTGATTCTCAGAACTTATTTCCTATAAATTGCATTGCAAGATCACACACAGATTTGTTCCCTCTCCTTCACTACTTTCAACATGATTCTACATTGAATTCCAACAAAAATTACAGGAGGAGTGACAAAAACTTGAGTGAAAGTCTACTGGATCATTATTCCTCCTGATTTACAACATACAAATATAGCAAATGTAATTCCACTTACTTCTCAATCTTTAGGTAGGCCATGGCTCTGTTAGCTGGCAGCAGTGCATTAGTGCCATCTGCTGCGATTCCACGGGTGTAACATTCTATTGCAGCCTCRTACTTTCCTTCTTTGAAATAACCGTTACCCTGGAATATTTAGGTCAGAAAACAACCAGCATTGAGAAAATCTAGTGCAATGAACATTTTTTTACCCTTTTTAGCAGACAGGGTCACAACATTACAAACATGAATCACAAAGAACACCCACATCAAGGCAGAGAGTTACAGTGTATTTCCTCCTCTCTAAGTTTGGCGGTCTTAATACCTTCTAATATCTCAAGGATAAAGCATGTATAGCTTAAATGCAGACTTGAAAGTCTACAACTTGCTGTTTATGCTTAATGTGCAGGTTAACCTACTCTCTACCCCCTGAATTTAAACACAAGGTAAACCTTTATAGATCCCCTTTTAAGATGATTTTTTGCACTGCACWAATTCATCTTTATCCTGCTCCACAGAACTTATCCTCAAATATTACTTGGGTCCAAATGTTGTTGTTTTCAAAGTAATGTTCCCTACAAGAAAATTACATTCCTTTTTTGTTTGTTTCTGGGGGACTAAAATTATCTTTCGCTTCTCAGTACTAATTTGAAGCTGCACATCTCTGCTACTACTCTTCTGACAAAAAAAAAAGGGCACAGTTCAGACTTGAGAGTATCCATGTCATGAACAAGCCTGCAGTAAGTCAACTCTGCTGCTAATGAAATATTACATTAGACTGAAATTTCTCTTCTGTGACCTGTGCAAACTCTTGTTCCTTAATGCAAGCTTTAACTCATTTTTTACTAATTACTTCTTACAACCAGTACAGCAAACCTGAATATTGATAACAGGTCAGAAGTTACATAGCTAGATAAGTGAACAGAAAGATTTTAGTTTAGTTGGTAATGTAATTTATTTACTGAAAGAGTGGTAAGAGGGGGAAAACAACAAGCCAACTGGGAGTCAAGACTATGTATCCAGAAATACGTTTTCTCTATCATTGCTCCCTGCACCCCTAAAGTCCTTGTCACTACTCATCATGTAATGGTGATTTGAAAATGAGAAATAATCCACAACTCCACTCGCACAAGCAAGGGTCAAGATGCTCATAATAATGGACAAACTGGATCTTTGTGCAATTGCCACTTGTCTTACCATGTACTTGAAATTTAGTAATATGGGCTGTAAAAGCTACCTTTTAGAATTATTCCTCCAGACAAATCCAAACAGAATTCACAGTCCCATTCACCTTCCTAAAGCCCAAAATGGGTTTACATCAAGGACACTGAATTTATGAAGTTCAGGGCAGTATCAGGTTTGATTCATATATTTGCATAGCTAGCAGCAAGACACAACCATTTTTTTTTTGCTAGGTCTCTCCTGTTCCACCAGAATCTGTGACTTACGAGATCTTTTTCTGCAATTGCCTTCTGCTTGAGCTGCTGGTCTTCAATGCGCTGCTTCTCTTCATCTGTTAATCCTGTTCTGACCCCATTTTCAAACTCTTTCTGTTYTGAGCTTTCTTTTAATAACAGAGCCTGCAAAGACGAAATTTTTCCCCTCAGTATTTCCTCAGTTAAACCTTTTCAGAATGTAATTTGCAATAACTTCTAAATTTTCAAGATAACAAAGGTCTGCCAGAAGTGTCTGTGTTGTAAATTCAATGCAAATTGGGACCATTTTAAATTGTTTCTTCAAAATGTATTTCTATGAGGGACTGTGAGTCAGAATAATGCTTGGTAAATAAAAAGTATGTAACTTCTGAAGCACAGTGCAAAATGATTCATGGAACCTGTTTATATATACTGCAATTCCCATATAATTTATTTCTTCAGTTACTGGAAACTTTGAAACTTCATTCTGAAAATAGATTTTTCAAGCACTTTCAAAAAAAATASAGTTGAAGAGGTACCTTCATACAGTAATGACAGGTGAGCTTGTATTTACTATGGTCATCTTATAAACATATAATAAACATTCTCCTCCCTGTCATGAAAGGCATCTGACTTGCACTAGAGCATTTTGTACTGCTAAGCTTAGAATAACTTTCTGCTTTGGCTGACCACAGCAATCAGTGGGACTACAAGTAGGCTAGCAGTGCCGGCCAAGAGAATACAAGGTGCTTCCTTATACCAAAACTCTAAACATGACTGGAAAAAGTATTAACATAAGAGGTAGAAAATGAGGGAAAATTAACAAACAAACCCATCCAACCAAGAACAAAAAAAAAAAAACCAACCAAAAAGATCCAGATCGGGCACACATAGTCATAGCCTGCTAATTCACTATTACACTGATTTCTGCATGTGTGTTTCTCCAGAAGAAACTCCATCAAAGATGTTGACCTCAGTGAACTTCAAATACCAGAAAAAGCAGGTGAGAAATTGTTGAATCATTTCTTCTTATAAATAAAAATTGACACAGATGGAAACTGAATCGGGTGTATTGGTTTATGTTAGGGCCTATTAATCTTATTACCTGATTAATTTTCTTCAGTTCATTTTTGGCATCAAAGTTGTTTGCATCCAGCTCCAAAACCTTTTCATAATCTATCAGAAGACCAGAAAAATATGTTTCAGGTAGGAAGCACAGAGCAGTAAGCAGAGCATTCTTTTAAGATAACCCTTTTTTGTAGTTACCCAAGAAGGCTGAGTTATTTCAAGGAATACATAATTCTAAAACATTTAAAGCTAAATTATTCTAGAACTACTAACATCTACAACTATCGTTTGGACTTCCTCCTCGAATTTTACCTTCCCAGAACAATATGCAACATGGTAGTTAGTCTATTTATAGGAAACAAAAATTAAATTCCTACATCAAAGAAGCAGGTCACACAAGTTTGTATGTCTTTTCYGAAAAGAATTTTAAAAGCCCCACCTTCTTTAGCACCTTGAAGATTTTTCAAAGCAAAGCGAGCAGCACCTCTTCTGGAATAAGCCTTTATGTAATTCTTATCTAAAGCGAGAGCTAAATTGCAGTCAGATTCTGCAACAGAATACCTATCAAAAAAAAAATAAGTAGTTTGGATATATCTAGGTAACAAATCCCAAAACTTCAGCAGTTTCTCTTACTCTGAGCCTCTCCAGGTTCTTAATAACATGGAAATCTTACATGCTTCAGAAAGTAYACAAAAGAAGTATTTATACATTTCTTGATTCAGAATACATTAAAACAAGAAAGAAAAACAGTGCTCAAGAATTTGTACTGCAACAGAAAGAATAACTAACTCCCCTGTATCCTTTCTTCACCCAAAACAAATCCAAGCTTTAGAAACAGAGCTCACTGAATCTGAATGGCAATTAAACTTTCTCTTCCTCTTTTTTCTTTAAATCTTGCACTGTAACAGAGAAGAAGGCTAACTTCTAGTGTGAAAGCAGAAAAAAAACTGATGAGGAAGACTACCAGATTGCTTCTGCTGGTAATTCCTATTTTACTTTGAAACTGGAAGGCAGGTTGCAACAAYAGCCTTACAAATATATCACAGCACAATGTAAAATCAGGAATTAAAACTAGGCAAAGAACCCGAAAGTATCATCTCAAGTATAAAAATGCTACAGATTTAACAATGTAAGTCTTACTTTTTCATTCTATAAAAAGCTGATGCTCTGTTTGTGGGCAATACTGGATTGTATGGGTCAGAATGCATCCCTCTAGTATAGCATTTTATAGCTTCATCAAAGTTTCCTTGTTTGAAATAATTATTACCCTGTGAATAGAAAAAAAAAGCCTTTTCAGCAAGTTAGTGTACATTGCCAGACTCACTGCTAACCAAAAAAAAAAAAAATTCAAAATCAAGTCTGTATTTTAGAATGCTTAAATACTTTTGTTCAATGCTTCTCATAAAGTACTGCTTTACTACGAAATATGCCTTCTAATTAATCTAAGTACTCTATATTAAATAATTCTCATGATACATGCTATAACGTGGATCTATAAAATATTTATTTTCAGTATCTGTAAGTCATTTCCAGATACCTGTAACCTGAATAGCTACTTAAATTGCYGAATTACTGAATGTTTCTTAAAGTTTTTAGTAACTAGATTTGGCACCTTTGCTTTCCAAGTCAATATTCTCATTTCTGCCTCCTTAGGACACAACTTTTATATCATGCGCCCTCATCTAATTCACTGCAGTCAAGAGGATAATGGCCAAAGACTCCTCAATTTCTCAGTGCAGACTACAGATTACATGTCAAGGAATGTAGCAGGGACAGAACAAAAATATCACCGCCGCACACAGTTTAAAACAAATTAAAAAACCAAACTAAAGCTAAAACTCTACTGGAGTAAAGTACGGACTGACAGATGGGTTAAGTGACTGCTTACAAATAAATTTATCAAAAACACATAAGTTGCTACAGCATTAGACTATTTTTCAAGGCAATGAAGCCTGAGATCTCTCTGTGTATCCTATCTTATTAGGCAAAACTGAACCGGTATGAACCTGCCATTACTGAATCTTTCAGATTTAGTTTGGGGAATTCACATGTGTTCAGATAAAAACCAGTTTGACCTATACACAATTCTACACAGCCATTCAACTTCCCAAAGTAAAAAATCACCAATACATTTATCATCAGCAGCATATGTTAATTAGAATCTGACMGGCTTACTGCCACAGATAATGCAAAGGAACAGAACTGCAGTGAGAATTTTCTGTTTTGGAATAATGGGAAGGAAAACAGACAGAAAGATGTCTAAATAGGCAATTTTTTTACTAGATGTGTGGTCTCAGTGGGTGGTCTTTCAAAAGAAAATTGCAAATACTCCTATATCTAAATTGCTATTTTGCCAGTAATAAACATCTACAGTTCTATAACCTTTTCCTTCTCTGCAAGAGCCTTTTCTGCATCTACACGAATTCCATCTTCTTCAGAGTCTGATTCTGGAGATACAGAATCATGAGGACTATCTTCTTTATCAAGTTCTTCAAGTATTTTATCCTGGAATCAGAAAAAAAATAAACTATTATCATCATTATAATTCAACAGGGCAAAATAATACAAGTAAGATTTTATTATTAGTAAGAATTATTAATGTGTCCCCTGATACTCACAGTTGTGTTTAGTTTATATTCTACTACAATTATGATCTTTTGATAGACCTGTTGTTAAAAAATATTTTTTTCCCTTTAAACTCAATCTACTGGATGAAAGCACAGTGAATAGCAAACCAAGTATCTATCAATATTCCACATATTAAACACGTAATCTTTTTGGAAGAAAGCTACTTTTTATGTTCATACAGTACCCAGCATGGTAAGATATTGACTGGCACATAATCTTGTTTAATASAGAATCAACTGGCGACAAGACTCAGGTAACAAAGCAAATATTTATGACTCACCACATCAAGTTTTCCCCATGCTTCATAATCATAAGACTTGATCTTGTTTTTCTTGTTTTCCTCAGAGGTTATCTTTGAAGGGACTTTACTTTTGCTCTTCTTYTTCTTAAAAACTTTGTTTCGAATTGGTGGCAAATTCTAAATTAAATCAAGTAATTTATTATAAAACACATTAGTAAAAATCACTTGCACCAAAAAATCAACAGTACCTGTATCTAGACAGTGTATCTATCCAGTGGCTAGTTTTATTTCAGAAATCCATCCAGCAAGCTGTTGTTATGAACTCTACAAAAACACTAAGAACAACAAGTATAAACCTTTCAACACTAGCAAATATAGCAAATTTGCTAAATGCAGCAATACTAGCAAATATTACACRTATGATATGAAACTGAGTTTTAAAAGACAAGTTTCTTCAGAGTATCACTGAGGAGTAACTTCAATATATTAAACATCAGCAGTAAATTAGCAATAGTGATGCTGAAAATAAAAATACTCTCCYAGATCTACCCAGAACTGATAAAAAAATTTACTGGTCTCTTCACCTTCAGAGGCTACTGCCCTAAACTCAGTTGGTGGAACGAATTTTTGGTTTACTTCAGATGAAGAACACATCATGGGCTAGTTCATGCCTTCTATTCAGATACTTTAAATCAACAAATTTAATYTTGCTAAAGCAAAACATCATTATTATAAACACTGTAACAGTATGAATAGCTGACTTGACATCAGTCTTGTGTTTTTTACCTCTTCTGGGACCCCACTCTGTTTCCTGAGTTCAGAATCCACTTCTTTAATATCTTTCTCCCAGCTCTCCAATTCTCTCATAAAATCCTGCAGCTCTTCAGCATTTTGCTTCATTTGCAGCTGCAGTTCTATCGCCTTATTTGGTGCACTCATTGTAATCTGCCAAAATTCAAAGGAAAAATCTTTCTAAAAGGAAGTTGGAAGTATGTAGTGAAGGCAGCTAGCTACTTCAAAATTAAGAAGTCTGACTTAGGTGCCAGTCAGGCTTCCCAATAGCATGGCATGAACATCAAACACTAAGAGCCTAAAAAGAAACACAGTTTAAATGTCTTTGAAAAAATAAAGGGAAACAATGTTATTCAGATAAAACAATGTGTATCACAACAGAGAGTTATATTTCTCTAACAATGTAAGGTAAAGCACCCAACATGTCAATGGCAAGTGCAAGTCCTGAAAGTGCAAGTCCCTAAAACACTGTTTAAAATTATTAACCCCTGTCTTTGTACATTTTGTTGTGTTAATTTTATTGCCTTAAGTGAAAAGTTTTATAATCACAAAAATGTCAAGTCATTATTAAAAAGTAACCTCAAAAAATCCAGATTAGAATTCAGAAAAAAAACCACCCCACGTTTGTATAGTTCAGAGCAGAAAAATCTGAAAGGATGAAGCTAACATGTTTTGAAAACAATCATGATTAAGTAGCTGGTGATGACCTCAACACAAACTTCAACAAAGAGATTTGTGAATGGTTGCTAACTATAACCTCTTGATGGCAAGCTTCAGGATCTGTTACAAGCTCCATGGAGGTCTAAATAAGCTATTTATRGAGATACTATACACAAAACTTTTAAGGAAGAAAAAGATCTAGATTATTGGCAATAACCTAACAGCACAGCAATATAAAAATTTATGAATCAAAGCTAATGATTTCTGCAGTACAATGTGCTGTCCATAATAACAGAAAAGGGCCTCAAAGAGATAGAAAAACTGCATCATTACTGCTGAACTAATGCTACCAAAGCAGAAATGTTTTTACATACTCAAGTATAAGCAGTTGAGTAGCTACCCTACTGGAGCAGTTGTGTTCCTCCCTAGTTCATAAATAGGTGGTGACATGCTTATCCTGAGCAACAAASTAGGTCTATTTGAAACAAACCAGAAAGAAACTTTCAGTGAAGCCAAAAATACATAGCTTTCATCACATTTCCAATTAAGGAGCTTCCTAAGTTTTTTTTCCACCTTCAACTGATGTCCCACACCCAACTACCTCTGTAATATTCAGTCTGTTAATTTGGTGCAACCTGGGTATGGACACATCAAATACTCCTACAGCCTAGCACTTCTAGGTAGCTAGAACAAGATACCTAAAGAGATGCAAGAAAATACTTGTGACCTGCTAAACTTCTCTTTTTCCTATCGCAGACTGAAACAGTATTTTCACGCCTGTGAAAACCCAACGTTAAATCTGGCTGTTTGCTCTCTGGGACTCTAAAGCATCTTGCTCAAGTGTACAAAGTGAGCTTGCTCCGTTTCACACACAATTTACCAATCACCTTAATCCACGCACTGAGAGCAGTTTGCGGCACAGCTCTACCACCCTTCAGGTCATTTTCATTCGAGTTTGCGGCACAGCTCTACCACTCTCCAGGTCACTTTTCATTCGAGTCTCCACGCTGGGCCCTTCCCAACACCCGAGGGCTGCTTGTTCCAGCGATGCCCCACGAAGTGGCCGGACCACACCACTGGCCTGACCGGCAGCGCAGGTCGCCCGGGAGCGAGTCCCGAGGCCGCGCCGCAGGAGGCCCCGAGGTAGAGCAGCCCCTTTGAGCCTCAGCACCCGCCTCTGCACCGCCCGCAAGTTGTAAGAAAGGCCTTAACTCCCTCAGGGTGAGCTCCTCCTCCCCTCACCTCGTCTCCCCACCCCCCTGGYGAAGCCGCCCGTAGACCGCAGGGACGGGGATGCGGCTGCGGGACGGCGCCGCCGCGGGGTTCGGAGATGGCACATCCCGCCCGTCCCGCCCAGCCGCGGCCTCACCTTCCCCGTGCGGCGGCCGCTCCTCCCGCCGCGGATCCGGATCCCGCTCCCAGCGTGCAGCGCGGCCCCGCGGCGGCTCAGGCGGCACCGGGGACAGGATGGCACAGCCCACGTGCCGCGAGCGGAGCCGGCGATTGGCGCGGCCGCGGCCCGGCCCCGGGCCCGTGCTCCCCCGGCAGGCGCGGCATGGCAGCGCCCGACACGGAGGAAGGGGCGGCCGAGTCCCCGCCGGCGGCAGGGAAGAAAGGGGCGGAGGAGGAGGATGACTTCGGCTACCGGCTCTTCCCGGACCGGAATAAGAAGCCGCAGAGCTTCCTGGTCCGCAGCCTCTTCACCTTCCACAACAAGTGCCAGCTGATGCTGAGGATGACCCTGGAGACGAGTAAGCGCTTCCCCGTCCGCCCGCGGGCCCGGCCCCGGCGCAGCGGGAGTGCTGAGGCGGAACTCGGGCCGTCCGTGGCCACTGGCGGCGGTGACCTTGTGTCGCACCTTCCCCGCGGCGGCCAGAGGGCCCCGAGCAGGTAGCGGGTGGGCTGCTGCTTTAGGAGCACCCTGATTCTGGTTAGACAAGAATTTGAAAGTCGCTGAGAGGTTTGGTGTTGTTTCCCCCACTAGAAGGTTCTTGTTCTTTTTTCCCTGACAAATTAAGATGATTTCAATTCAATCAAATGATGTCAATTTCTGTGCTTTCTTGCCCTTTTCACTGCTTCATGTGGACTGTGAGTGTTAACAAGCAAACTATGGTCACTATAGACTTTTCTATTTATGTTTATTAGTAATAAAATRATGTCAGTATTGACTTGATCCCTGAATAGCATTGACTGTGTCCTGGGCTGCATCAAAAGGACAGTGACCAGCAGGTCGAGGGAGGTGATTGTCMCCCTCTGTTCTGCTCTTGTGAGATCCCACCTGTAGTGCTGCATCCAGCTTTGGTACCCCCAACATAAGAGCATGGAACTGTTGGAGTGAGACCAGAGCAGACCCACCAAGTAGGTAAGGGGGGCTGGAGCACCTCCCGTGTGAAGACAGGCTGAGAAAGGTGGGACTGTTCAACCTGGAGAAGATTGTGTAAAGCCCTCATCTGAAGGGGCCCTGCAGGGAAGCCAGACAGGGTCTCCTCATCAGGAATTGTAGTGATAGGACAAGGASTAATGGGTTCAAACAGAAGCATAGCAAATTTAGGCTACATATACAGAAGAATTTTTTTTACTGTGAGGGTGGTGAGACACTGGAACAGYTGCCCAGAGAAGTTGCAGTTACCCCATCCCTGGGAGTGTTCCAAGGCCAGGTTAGATGGGGCTATGAAGAACTAGGTCTAGTGGAAGGTGTCCTTGCCCAAGGCAGGGCATTGGGACCAAATTATCYTTAAGGTCCCTTCCAACTCAAACCATTGATTCTATATCACTTTACATAGTCTGAGCTGTAGCAGATGCCAGTTTCATTGCATTAGGATTAAATATTGCAAAGTGTGAATTTGCATGTATAGTGCTTTTTGTGGCTTTTTTTCCTTGACTGTCTTTATATTTTGTTTATAGATGATTTTCAAAACTTTTGTCTAGAGAAATTGATTGCAGCAATGTTTTTCTAGATCCATATGCTCGACTTCTCCTTGAGGCTCTGAAGCAGTCTGGTTGGTATGTAAACTGTCTTGTTCTATGTAGTAACATCACTATGATAAGTAGTGACTGAAGTTTTTCAAATTCTTTTCYATAACTTTGTTTGTTTGGGCTTTTCAGCACTGTCTTCAATGACCGGCACTTTTCTTGTGAAAACTGTGATGGCTGTGTCAGTGGCGGTTTTGATGCTGCCACATCTCAGGTAGGTGCTGGACGTAGTCCCCTTTCAGAGTAATACAATTTTTTTAGTGTTTTGTTGCTAGAATTAAATCAACCAATACAGACACATGAGTTAGTCACAAATATAAGATAAATGAAAGACATCCCAGGGTATTTGAACTAGTACACTACAGAATGTTGTGTGATGCTGGTAAAGTTGAAAAACACCAATCTAAGGCCCTAAATGCTGTTAGTGGTCTGTGCTGTCTCTGAGAAGTAAGGGACTTGTTAAACTTGCTGAAAAGATTACCTGTGTCTCTTCTGCAGATTGTTCTGTGTCAGAATAACATTCGCCAGCAATCCCATATGAACCGGGTGGTCACACATGAATTGATTCATGCATTTGATCACTGCCGTGCACATGTTGACTGGTTTAAAAATGTCAGACACTTAGCATGTTCAGAGGTAAGTTAAAATGCTTTGAAGTTCTCATTATTAATTAATTACTGCTTAATAATTGGTGCTTCAGGAGGTGAAATTAAGTGGAGCACGGGCTGGGAGGGATGCCTCTTGTGTACGTGGCACAGGTGTATTCAAATGCTTTTACTTGATTTCTGCTGTAATCTGTATCATTTGTTCAGAATAGCTTATCCTTGTGGCTACATTATAAAAGTGCACACTTGTAACTTGAATTAGGTGGGTTTTTAGCTGTTTCTAAAAATATATATAAAAGRGGTTTTCTTTGTTTGTTTTTGGTCATGAGTTGGTGGATTTGTTTGTTTTTAATGAGAATGTGTTCGATTCCAGACTGTAGATGGAATACATAGATAGTGCACAAGGTTCACCWATAAACAGTATGTGAGATAATCCAAGTTAGGAGTTTAGTACTGACCAAAGCAAATTTCATGAAAATTAAATTCTGTGGAAAAGAGCCGTAGTCACTTACGATCTCTTTATAGATAAAACTTAATGAAGTAATCTTATGTGGTATTAGTAAAGCCATTCTGTATGGCTGTCAGGAACCCACCAAGCCRTTCTCTGATTTGCTGTCTTGATACCTGTGGGGCTATTTCCCTCACATTTTCCTCAGTCCTCTGTCTCAAAACTGCRTTTTTAATCCTTTCTTAAACATGTCATCACAGAGATACAACCAGCAGCAGTAATGGGCTCAACTTTGACTGGTGGTGGGTCTGTTTTAAAACCAAATAAAGCTGGCCCTGTTTGACATGAGGGCAAGCACTTGTCTGGTCTCACAGAAGCCACCCAGCACGCCCCTCGTTTTGCCATGTACAATACAGTAATTCAGTATTATTAACTACCAACTACTTTTTTTTTTGTCCAAGCCTCTACACAGTGCAGAATAAAGCATGTAAGCCTCAAATGTAAATTTTATGTAAAGCAAGATGGTGCCTATTCTTGTTCTTGTTCGGATTATTTGTTTACCTCAGGTCTCGCAATTACTTAATTATATGGTATTTACATTTTTTGTTGACAGTTTTTTCATTCTTACCTTTTTATATTTTCCATGCATTTATTTTCATTCTGGTACTTAATTATAGGAAATCGCATATTATTTACATTTCCTAACGGACTGGGTAGGGTACGGAAATTCAGCAGACAGAAGGAATTCCAGTGTAGAGGACAAGACAGTTAACAAGCTAAAACACACATTCTTACTTAATTGTGGCTTTTTGCAAAACAGATGGGTTACTGCTCTTCTGGGTATTGCAGCAGTAGTCTTTGAAAGGTATGTGCCTTCCTTCCTGGTACTTGTAACAGATTCTGATACAGACTGGGGAGAATATTACCTTCCATGTTCTTCTAGCACTTCATATGTATACATACACACAGACATATAACCTCATTTATGTGAGCTTTAGGGATATGTGAGACGTTGTTCCTGGAGAAACTTGAAGGTTGTTGTAGTAATACTTCACAGTTCACTGAGGCTGAGGTGTTAGTAAAAGGTATTTARGAAGTTAAGATGGCTTGGGAATATTTTCTACCAGCAGTCACYGGAAATACACTGAAGAAAACCATTTGTTACAACTTTTTTGATTTCGTGTTCCTCTGATCTTGTGACTTTTTATTTTTCTCAATAGATTCGAGCTGCTAATCTCAGTGGAGACTGTACACTGATGAATGAAATAGCGAGGTTTAAATTTGGATTGAAAGGGCACCATCAGGTAAAAACTGGATGTTAAAATCTAATCATTTGTTACAAGCCATCTTTACCTACTTGGTCTCAGCCTTCTGCAGTTTCATAGCTCAAAACTATAAAAAAGAAATAGATGCCATATGCTTCCTGTTTCCTCTTAATTAAYATTTAATGATTGATATTAGGGTTTTTTTTCCCACCATGTTATTTTATTGGAGTGAAATTCCTGAATACTTCGTCATGTTTTAAAGTATTACCACTGACAGTGGATGGCTAATGAAACCAAACAAAAAGCAGAGTTCGTGGGAAATGTAGAGGAAATACCTTATCCTCTATGAGTGGGTGACACTCTTTTTAAAAGTCTTTGAAAAATTGAAGGAAGCAGAATGACAGGATTTCTGAACAACCATTCAGCACCATTTCTGTGTGCTAAGTCTTGTAGGAATAAATTTTTGTAAATAGTAATGAAGTCTACAGATTGAGGCCTGAGTAGCTGCTCATGTTAGAGTGGCAGTTAGCTTATAGATGATGTTTACATATTTTTTTATCTTCTGGTAATCAAGCTGTGTTAAGAAAAGTTACCATAAAGAGAGGTATCAAAATTAAGGCCGATAGAGAAGTCATTCCTTTGTTTTACCGCATTTCAGTTTAAAAAGAACCTAACTGGTATTTGTATCTATTTCTTTCTGACGTAGTTTCTCTTGTGTCCAGGTCAAGTTTGGCATTTTTTGTAGGTATTGAGTATGTGTAAAATTTTATTTTAATTCCAGTTCTAGGAGTATCTTTTAATCATCTTATGGTTTAGATGTCCATGGAAAACTAAAGCACATAGTTTACGCAGGATGGAACTAAATAACTAATGGTTATTGCAGGCATTGTTTGCCTCTTCTGTCATACAAAATTATTGCCTATGTAATAGGAGTTAATACTTGACAAAATCTGGGGGAAAAATATGCTAATAATGACAGATTTGTATTTATTTTCACTTTAGACTTGTGTACGAGACAGAGCAATTCGTTCTATTCTGGCTGTTAGAAAAGTTAGCAAAGAAACAGCAGAAAAAGCTGTGGATGAAGTTTTTGATGCCTGCTTCAATGATCTGGAACCTTTTGGAAGAATCCCACACAGCAAAGCAGATGCAAAACGTGCTTACAGAGACTTTCAGAACAGAGATCGCTATTATGCTAATTTGTAAGGGGGGGGGGAAACCACATGAGAAATCACATTRATACCTGATTGTTCTGTAATGTCTGGATTTACAGTCTGTGCCCACAGTTCTGGTGGAAAGGGTAATTCTATCAAATGTATCAATTAATTTTTTAGGCCTTTTTCATGAGCCAACTTCTGTGGAAGTAAATGGGGTAAACGAACAAGACTAAAAACTGTGTTTCCTCACCTGTTACTCYGGAAGGATAATTTAGTATGCCAAATGATTTATCAAATAATGATCTGCACATTTCAATGTGCATTTAATTTTAATCAGTCTGACTGACTTGGTTTCTGAAAGTTTTGCTGTCACTGAATAAATCTTTTCATAATATCTTTATGTTTTCACTGTCTTTGATACACAGTCATGAACTTGATAATATTCATCACTTTAGTTTAAAAGATGGGCACCTGAACTGCAGCTCTAGGGTCTGGATTTAATAACTATGGCTAAGCCAAACTTTAATAACTACCACATTTGTTTTTGAGYGCCTCCTGAAATTTGTGGGCAGTCTAACATTTGTTAGTGGTGGGAAAGCTTTTGTGACTCGAGTCCTTTATGCATAGAATTATTGCTCATGTCCTAATTGTCTCTGGTAGTGGAGGACTGGGTATGATGGTCAGTGTTGCTTTCTCGTGTTCTGTATCCCAATATATTTTGTGACAACAGGACTGTCAGTGTATGAAGCTTTTTCAGATTACTTTTTCAGCATACATAATTGAGATTTGGCTGTGGTGGGCCAACAGACTTGAGCGGGAGTGAAGTACTGAACTGCTCAGAGAAATGTCAGCACATGCACAAATTTCAGGTGCCTGACATGGTGCAGCTGAAAGGGGGAGGTACTCCCAAGTACCTCCAGAATTTGGCAGATTYAAACCTAAGCACAGTCTTCACAAGGACAAAACAGAACACACACAAAGTCCCTGAAAGCTGATTAAGTCCGAATGACCTGAGTTCTGTTTGTGTTGGACTAYGTGTGGGTTGCATTTATTTGCAGGTGTAGCATAATTCATACCTACAGGAACCGTTATCTCTGGGGCTAAGCATTAATGTAGATCCCTCAGAAAGTCATTCCAGTTGTATTTGAGGGATCTTTGTTAAGACATAACTTTTTCCAACTTGTTCTTTCAACATTTTTACAGAATTTCAMATGGAGATTTCATGATCTTATTTTCCCAGGGTAGTTCATCAGTGACATAGTCTCATGGCTGAATATCTGARCTGAAAACAATGGATATAATAACCTAGATACCTAAATAGAGAATTACAATTACTTATGTAATTATCTCCATGGAGAAAATTACACTTTGAATTCTAAGCTTCCCATATCCCATGTAGTCTGTATAGACCTGGGGTTTACAAAATCCTGTGAGGATGAGATGCCTTGAAACAGCGTAATAGTGTGTGTTAATATTCTGTTAACCTTTACTGCTCTTCAAATCACCATTTTAGTCAGTATGATGCATGACGCTGGGTTTTTTTATACTTTTGACACATATTCTSGCAGATAATTCCCTTCATTATACCTTACTAACCAAAGTTCTGCATTAATGAATGTGTGTGTTTGTGTTTATATTGTATATTGACCAAGACATTGTTTGAACATACACATTTGTCTTTATCTGGGAGAAGCTTTATCAAGTCTACTTACAAATGAAAAATAAAGCAATAAAGACTAGAAAATGCAAGCATACAAACTGCTTTCTTTTTTCTTTAGCATTTTTGATAGGTGAACATTATTAAAATCTTGGAAAGAAAGTACTCCAGAGATACCTGCAAGAAATATTGGTAATTAAGGGTACACTGAGCTATRTAGACATAATTATTAAAACAAATGTGTATATCAGTATGAAATAGTTGGAAATCACGTTGGGCAAAAAAATCACAAAATACTGGTTTCACAATTCTCAGAGAAGTAAGGAAGGGGCACAAAAAGAACATGGACTTCTTTTGGCCTGTTTAGAAGCCTGGTAAGCAGGGTACCTTGGGAGGCAATCCTCGAGGGCAAAGGACTCCAGGAAGGCTGGACATTCTTCAAGAAGGAAATCTTCAAAGTGCTGGAGCAGGCTGGCCTGGCTGAACAGAGAGCTTTTGCTGGAACTCAGGAWAAAAAGAGTTGGAAGAAGGGCCAGGCAGCGCAGGAGGGCTACAAGGATGTTATGAGGTATTGCAGCGAGAAAATGAGAAGAGACAAAGCCCAGTTAAAACTTCATCTGACTGCTGCATAAAACACAATAAAAGTGTTTCAATAAATACCTTTGTAACAAAAGGAAGACTAAAGGCAGAACATACGCGCAGCAAGTCGCTAGAAAGCAATCAGGACAGTCTGAGGGGCTTCTTGTCATTCCCTGAGAAAAGGAGGGACAATAATTACATGGAACTTTGCACGCACTGTTTATCAATTCGAGCAATCATTTCATTGCTTCAGGTGCAATTTTAATCTGCATCCTTTCTTCTCATCAAAACAGAGGTTAAAAAACCGAGTAAAAATGCCATGCAAATATGAAAAATTTGTGAATCGATTAAGCAGCAGAGGGAGCTAAAGGACTGTGGAAGAGCATGCTGCTGTGGAAAGTCAGCTCTAGACTATATACAGCTGTTCTCCAGTGTGCAGTTCAGTCTTGGTTTAAATTTCTATTTTAATCAAACTTGCAAACTTTCATATAAAAAGAGGTTAAAAATTAAACTGTATTTCAATCACTTTTTTTTTGTTGTTACTGCAGAATATTTGCTTCTTCCAAGTGCAAAGTGGAGCCCTTAGGGGCATCTTCCCCACTCCCCAKTGTTTCACAGTTGAATGATTTTCTTTCATTTCCATTTTATGTCCTGCTGTTCTCTCCTTGTTTGAGGGAATTACTTCTCCATTAACACATTACACCTGTTCCTCTTCCCTACTCAAATTCTTCCCATGCATGTGTGCCATGAAAGAGTGTTTTAAGATTGCTTAAAGAATCACCAGCAAAGGCATTAGTAAATACAGGTTTAATATGARCGTGACAGCACAACAAAGTTTATTGGCAAGGTTTTCTCTACTGCTTACTAGATGGTTAAAGCAGACCAAGAAAAAGCAACAAGCAAAAATCCAGAGTCAATCAATCTAAACCCTAAAGACCCAACAGCACTTAACAGCATTTGTATTTAATAGTACTTAACAACATTTAACTTAACTTACATTATAATTTCAATTAAACAATTTGGCAAAGGATTCATATAGGATTTGCTATACCACAACAATAATTTACTTACAGACCTAACTTACAAATCTAAAGTACTTAAGAATCTAGGAGTGCAGCATTTCTCTTCTCTCACCTTTGATAAACACACTTGCATGGACTCAGACATTAAAAGTCTGTATAAGGTACCTGTGAAAAATTACCCTGGAAGGTAGTGAGATACTGATTTCGGATGCCTTTCCATCTCCTCAAAGGGCGAAGGTCAAGCCTTGATGAGTGGGGATGTCAGATTTGTTGTCATTCAATGATCCTCCAAGTAGAGCAAATGTGAGAGTTTTCTGTCTCTGAAAAGTATTCTGCACACAGGGAGGCAGCTGGTCACASCCTGCTGTGGTCCAGGAGAGCTTGAAGGGTCTCATTTTAGACTACTGCTTATAGGGCTGTAAGACAGTTTGCTTTAGTCATAATAATGTTTCATCTTGGCCACACTTCAGGTTGGAAACTTTCTTTGAAAATGTGCGAACAAAAATATAACTCCACTTGAGTTTTTATTCAGGCATAAAAAGTGTCCAAGGTACAAAAATGCTCCTGCTTGTTAGGCAGCACAAGTTCCTGGGAGCAGTATTTCTGAAAAGCTCAAGAGTTGCTTAGTCCAGGTCAGGGCTGAGGCTTGACACGCCTTTCTCAGGTCATAATGCAACTTGGAGGTGGGAGGATGCACCACCACAATTTGTGTGTGCAAGTATAGATGGTCTTTCTTCTTTTCCTTTCATCACTAGTTACCTCCTTCTTCTCCCACTGTCTATCTCCAACACACACAAGGGAGAGGGTAAATGAAATTTAATCTGGGGAACCAATCTGCTATGTTACAYGTGTGAGAACGAGGGGTATTTCTTTCCAGGGTCCTCTTTGAATTTCCAKCTCCAAATGCCACAGCACTGGATTTTACTCTGTTAGCTTCACTCTGGTCTGGTGGGAGCCAGCTGGGAGCTCCCAGGAACAGACTGTGAATGTGTAGTTGAATGCCCTTCCCCAGGTTCTGTTTTACAGATCTTCCTTCTCACCTCTGCTCGTATGCCCATGAATAAACTGAGATACCTGGAGGCATCTTGACCGTGTCTCCCCCACTCCTCCTGTGCCCCAGCTCCTGCTACTGTCCTCCTCTGCTCCTCAGCTGCCCTCACACTCCCTGCATCCATGCTGTACTGTCGTTGGTGCCAGCTGGTGCTTCACCACATTTTAGTCTCTTGATTTGACACTTTACTGGAATGCACTTGGGAAACCGTTGGGGAATATGTTTTTTCACCATAGGAACCATAGCAGGGGATGGGTATCACCTGTCAGACCTCATGCTGATACTGAATTGGATTTCTGGCAAGGCTGAATATTCATTCATGGGAACTGAAGCATTGCTGGATATCACAGAATATTTATTACCCTCAGGTTTCACGCCTTCTGCCTTAAACCTTCTGGTATGAGGAGTAGGAGACTAATTACCTATAGGACTGGGAATACAAGAAAAGAAGGTCACAGGTACACATTTCCATCTTGATGCATTTTCTGACTGCTGGATAAAAGCAGAATTAAAAGGACAGCTTCAATATGACAATCCTTTCCTGCTCTTTAGATGCCTCCAATAGAGTGTATTGGTCTGCCAGCCACTGATGGAAGTGGACTGGATATTTTGTCAACTCTTTGTGGTTCCTGTACACTTGTATTTACTCCATGCAAAGAAAAGATAACAAAGGTATCCCTTCTCTTTACAAYACCCATACTCTCACATGACATTCTCCAAGAGGTGAGAAATCCATCCTTTAAGACTGTTGCTCAGAAAGAGAGACATGCTCTGTGTTTCAGACATGTGGACTCAGGARGCCTTCCTGGCTTCAGTCAATGAATCCTAGAGAGCTGAATCTTWGAGCACTTAGGCTTTTAGAAATCATACTGCTCACAGCCCTTTTTGAGTGCCCATCTCATGTAAAAAAAATGCACATTTCTGAAGGTATTTCCTAGAAATCTGCTAACACCATTCACTGAGGCTGTACATGTAACTTCTACAGTACATAAAGAAGGCATCTACTGCATGTGCAGAGCTACAGTCTTAAAACTGTCTTAACATGGAGAAAAAAAAAGGTACATGTTAACACTTTATTTACCATTCCTTTTAGATTTCACTTTAAGTGGTATTATGTTTRGGAAGTATTAATATTACTTTAGGCTGCTTTTGTCTTGGCACATTGGCCTTTGTAGATGACTTTTGGGACACAGAGCTGTCACCATCCACGACACTCTTAATCTAAGCAAAATCCAATCCAAATGCTCACAGAAAAAGCTGGAGATCTGGTCCCAGAGGCTGGTCGTCTGGGAATAGATGGTCTCATCTTGTCCAAGGGTCACTGAAGCACCTATAGATGAACTTTAGGAAAACACTAGGATAACAGATTTTCCTATTCAAAATAATCCTTCCCTGCGGTGACCCTCTTTCTTGCTTTTTCAAGATTCTTGGACATGCTCCTTAGTCTCCTGAGAGTCTCATCAAACTGCTGTCTGCTCTCTCCATCCCCTTCAGCAGCAGTGGCTGCAGCAGGTATCCATCTTCAGGCACATTTGCCTCCACATGAGAAATTCTGAAAGTAGTGCTTAGAATAAGTATTGTACAATCTTCATTACTACACTGGAGATGTCTATACAAATCAGCATATCTACTGTTATGCTAACAGCTGTGGAGAAGTCTTTCAGAGATCTAGGTTTTGTCTAAATTTTTATTGATACCTTTTTTGGGTTTT